ATTACCACAGGTATCCATGTAGTAAGGTACTATCAAATAAACGATAACTGATTTAATGAGCCATTCGCAGTTTCACCGTACAATGTGCTTATACTTAGACATGCATGGCTTAATCTTTGAGACAAGCATATGACTACTGGCAGAATCAACCAGATATCTCACCTGCCGCCGCCCCCGGGGCACCCGGCTGGGGTGCCCGCGGATCTGGCGTCGGGCGGGCAGCACGGCTGGCCGCGCCCGAGAAGTGATCAAATCGAGGTCGGGGCCCAACGCGCGAGGCATACGGGCCCGCCCGAATCTCTGCGAGGCGGCGTACCGCTCGAAAGAACCGGGCATTCGATTGCCCCCACTGCAGTTTTCCCTCCATCCTCCGCGCGCAGGCTTTGGCGGCCAAAGACACGTCGTGCCCGGCCCCTGCGGCATTGGGGGAGCGGAAGGAGGGAATCGACGCCCGAACACGCCGACGCCGCTAAAGCGTCGGCGGATATCGAGGTCGACCTCCCCCCCGGAAGTTAGGGATGTCAGCGCTGGCCAGCGGCCAACAATCGACAAGCCCCATCGAAACCTATCGTACGAGAACGTTAGGCATTCGGGCAACCCTCAGCCGAGCCATGAGGCCGCCGAGGGCCGCAGAACCGCCCCGAACGTCGAAAGCCCAACCCAGGGCTGGAAGCCTTGACATCGAGAGCCGATCTCAGCGAACAAGAAACCTAAGAGCACGAATTACAGACAGGCGAGCCGCTAAATCTTAGTTAAAAAATCCTAACTAGCCAACGCCCAACCAGCCGCGCCCAAGCCCACGAATGCCCCCAGAACCATAGCTAGAATGAAGGTCAACCGCTAAACGTAGAGAAGATACCCTTCGCCCACTTTTTGTTTTTCGGAATCACCTCACCCTACATATACTCACCGAGGTCTGTTTAAGCGACCTCGCACGCGATGGGTGGAGTGGGCCCAGTCGGGTCCGATTTTGCACGAAATTTGTATGGGTCCAGTCGAAAGTGGGCTTGACGCCCGCAAAATTGACGTTTCGCAGAGGCTCGAACAGAACAAAAACGCGGACTTAGTCAAAATTTTTTTGATTTCAAAACTCGAAGGGGGCATAAGTCGGCGGGTAGGGGTGCTTTCGATCTGGCACCTCTGGGGGGGGTATAGGGGAGTGGTAGGAGTCACGTGTGAGGTCCACAGCCGGATCGGGGCAACTTTATTATTTTTTTGTTGAGAAGGGCCCGTTCGCCGAGAAGACGCACCCATTCCCGTCGAAAATGATATAGATATAAAGGGAGTTGCATAAAATATATTCTGGCGGCCTCAAAAATGAAAAAATACAAGGGCGGAACTATCAGACCATGGGGACCACTCGATTTTGGAGGGTCCATAGGGGTCCGGCGGCGGCGAGGTGCATACCAATCGCCCCCAAATCGACCGTAGAGCACGCCTGGATCAACCCCGGAGCGATTTGGAGCACTTTTTTTTTTCGGCCCCAAATGGCCCCCCTAGGGGGGCCGTGGCCCCTCGGCCAGAGGGTCCATTTTGTGAAAATGGCCCAGAGGGTCCGTCTGGCCCAGAGGGACCATTTGGCCCGAGGGGCCGTCCTGCCAGAGGGTCCGTTTGGCCAGAGGGTCCATTTGGCCCGAGGGGCCGTCCTGCCAGAGGGTCCATTTGGCCCGAGGGGCCGTCCTGCCAGAGGGTCCGTTTGGCCAGAGGGTCCATTTCTAGAAAACGGCCCCCCTGGGACCACTCGATTTTGGAGGGTCCATAGGGGTCCGGCGGCGGCGAGGTGCATACCAATCGCCCCCAAATCGACCGTAGAGCACGCCTGGATCAACCCCGGAGCGATTTGGAGCACTTTTTTTTTTCGGCCCCAAATGGCCCCCCTAGGGGGGCCGTGGCCCCTCGGCCAGAGGGTCCATTTTGTGAAAATGGCCCAGAGGGTCCGTCTGGCCCAGAGGGACCATTTGGCCCGAGGGGCCGTCCTGCCAGAGGGTCCGTTTGGCCAGAGGGTCCATTTGGCCCGAGGGGCCGTCCTGCCAGAGGGTCCGTTTGGCCAGAGGGTCCATTTCTAGAAAACGGCCCCCCTGGGACCACTCGATTTTGGAGGGTCCATAGGGGTCCGGCGGCGGCGAGGTGCATACCAATCGCCCCCAAATCGACCGTAGAGCACGCCTGGATCAACCCCGGAGCGATTTGGAGCACTTTTTTTTTTCGGCCCCAAATGGCCCCCCTAGGGGGGCCGTGGCCCCTCGGCCAGAGGGTCCATTTTGTGAAAATGGCCCAGAGGGTCCGTCTGGCCCAGAGGGACCATTTGGCCCGAGGGGCCGTCCTGCCAGAGGGTCCGTTTGGCCAGAGGGACCATTTGGCCCGAGGGGCCGTCCTGCCAGAGGGTCCGTTTGGCCAGAGGGTCCATTTCTAGAAAACGGCCCCCCTGGGACCACTCGATTTTGGAGGGTCCATAGGGGTCCGGCGGCGGCGAGGTGCATACCAATCGCCCCCAAATCGACCGTAGAGCACGCCTGGATCAACCCCGGAACGATTCGGGGGCGTCTAGGGCAAACGCCCCCGGAGTGGTTGGGAGCATTCTACAACCTCGCATCTACAAAATAGCAAATTGGAAAAAAGATATGAAGTATTTGTATTTATTTATATTATTAAAATGAA